CTTTTGGTTCACAGGCTGCCACTCAATCCACTGAGCCCACCAGCCAGGTCTCTTACAGACTTTTAAATAAAAATATATAGGTGTAGAGATAAGCAATCTATGTCTTTTATAAATATTGGACCATATCCATTTGTAGCCTACTTTAAAAAATATTGGGTAATTATTTTATAACTGCCTCCTATCTCCACTATTTGCAAAATGCTAGGAATATACAGATAAATCACAAAACTTGAAAAAGTGATATAAACGTGACCAGCATAGCCTATTCTTTGAAAATCATATGTGATCAATGAAGCCATCTTAGTTTGGCTCTAATTTTCACGGTAACATCCAAAAGGATGGCATTATCTATCTACCTAACAATTTTTAAATTTGAAACCTATTTTTAAGGATACTTTCCCTGCCAAATATAGCACTGCATCAGCATTTTTATCTTAATAATTTATATTTTACTTTAAATTATTATTTTCTTTTAATTTCCCCTTAACTCTTTACTAGAAAAATGAATTAGAGTTGAGAGAATAGTTGACAGCACATCCATCTGCTTCCCACCTGGATTCAGGGATTGTTCAGATAGTAGCATCTTTGTGTCCCATCTGGCAGGGGACAGCGCAGCCTGGTGGTTAAGAATGTGGAGTCAGCCGGCTCGATCTTGACTGTCTCTTAGCTGTTTCCTTGACTATGCAATGGGGTAATGTCTGAGATTTCAGAGGATCACATGGGATGGTGTCTGGCACATAATAAATGCTCAGTAAATATTATTTGTGTACTACTTGCCTTCTTTACACACTCAGCCTGGAAGACAGGGACAGTGTCTTGACTGGTTTCTCTCCAAATCCATGCCCACAAACCTCCAGTGCTGCTGGTCATTCTCCCACTGGCTTAGTGAGAGGATTATGTCACTCGTCCTCTCTCCTCGGACCTGTAATACAGTAGCCCCTTCATTCATGGTTTCACTTACCGCAGTTTCCATTACCCATGGTCAACCACAGTCAGGAAACATTAAGTAGAAAATGCTGAAACAAACAATTGCTGAGTTTTAAATTGCGTGCTGTGCTGAGCAGTGTGAGAATCTCACGTTGTCCTGCTCTGTCCTGCTCAGGACGGAGCCCATCCCTGTGTCTAGTGCATTTACAATTCGTATGCTGCCTGCCCATTAGTCCTGCACCAGATCCACGGTCGTGGTGTCACACTGCTCGTGTTCAAGCCACTCTTTCTGTGGCTTGACACAGCGCCGCTGTGGCTCCGTGACCCACCCTCTTCATCTTGTCATGTGGGTGCTTGACGTTGTCTCACATCATCACAAGGATAAGTACAGCACAGAAAGATATTCTGAGAGACAGAAAGAGAGACCCCATTCACAGAACTTGTATTACAGTATGTTGTTGTAATTGTTTTATCTTATTATTAGTTTATTATTAACCTCTTACTGTGCCTAACTGATGCATTAAACATTATCACAGGTATGTATGTGCAGGAATAAACAGTATATATAGGGTTTGGTTCTATCTGCAGTTTCAGGCATCCGCTGGAGCTCTCGGAGTGCAGCCCCTGCAGATAAGGGGGGTGACGATACATCCTGTCCCATCTTCCCTCTTAGCTGACAACCCAACTCTTGCTTCACAGAGAGAGCAGAAGCCATCAGAAGAGGACTCCCACACATTCCCACACCTCTGCCACCTCGCTAGCATCTATACGCACATTCTGTGCCTCCATGCCTACATTGTCAGTGACCTGGTCCCATCTCTAAGGCCAACTTCTCTACTCGTGCACTAGATTGATCTCTTTTTGCCTATCCAGGGCATCCCTCTCTCCGTGCACCGTCAGTTTTTCCTTCCCTAGTAAATCATTCCCAGATCTTACCAAACACCTTCCCATGACCTCACATTCTTCCTCTGCTTTTACCAATTTCTCTGCTGCTCCTTAAAGCAGAACTCTTTGAAAGAGCTCTCTTTACTCACACATCCACCAAAATCTCCAACTTATTCGACCATGAACATGGTCTCAAGTCTGAGACCTTCCTCCATCGCTTCCATCACCACCACCCCAGGCCAAACCCCACAGCGTGACTGGTACAATTGCCCCTGGTTTTTCTCTTGCCTCGCTATAGTTCATTCACCACTCAGCAGTCAAAGTGACCCATTAAAAAATATCAGCCCATATTTCCCTTTGCCTCCAACGTTGCACTGCCATCAACCCAGAAAAGAACCCAAAGTGTTTGCCCTGGCCCAAAGACATGCCTGTCCTGGCTCCCTACCAGCGGCACTCCTATGCTCTTTTGCTTCCACGCTCAGCTTAGTCATGCGGTATTCTTGCTCTTCCTGGAATTTGCTGGGCTCCAAATCCACCTCTGGGCTTTCTCCTTGATGCCTCTGCTGCCTAGAAGTCCTTTTCCCAGACTTTCACATGGCTTACCCATATATGTCACTCAAATCCCTATTCAAATTTCAATCACCAGAGAGGCCTTCCTAGACTACTCTGTTTTATTTCCCTTCTGGGCACTTGTCACTACCTGGCATAATTGTTTTATGAGTTCAGGGACTTTATTTTGCACATTGCTGTATTCCCAATGTCTAGAACAATTCTTGGTATGTACTGGGCACTGCGTTGAATGAACGAATCTTGTGTTTTCTTCTATACCCTGTTAGTGCCTAGTACTGTGCTGAACACAAGCAAGTGCTTGGTAAGTATTTATCAAATAGGGTAGAAATGGATTCTGTCAGCCTCTTAAAGCAGAACCTCGTCTCTGGCGGTCATTCAACAAAGGTTCGCATCTGTGGCATGAGGGGTCATACTTTTTAGTCCATTGAGCTGGTCCAAGGGTGAGATGAGAATTATGTGTGAAAGCACACAGTTCTTGTATTTTTGCAAATATCATGTATGCAAACTTGTAAAAGGAATAAACAGAATCTAAGGGCACCAGGAGTCTGCAGGAGTGCATCTGTCTCGGAGGAGTGTGTCTGTCCCGGTGAAGCAGATCTGTTGATGCGATCCTGAGGCAGGGGATCACTTTTTAAACCTAGCTCTGCATCTGAGCAGAGACTGGAAAAAGGCACACAATCGGCTAGTCTCATTTCAAACTCATGACCTTGACCCTGTGAGGGGCCTTAATGCTTCGCAGCAATCAACCCTGTTACTGTTCCCTAGTCCATTCACTCCCCTGCTTTCTAGGCATGTGTTTCACAACTTCCGTCCCCTCCTTCCTTCACTACTGCATCCCTCCTGCCTGTAGATGATGACCTGCTGCCTATTTTACTTCAAGGGCCAAAGCAAGTAGAGGAACACCTGGCCTGTATTCCCGTCTGCCTCCCTCTGGGCCGGATGCTCTGCCTTCTCTCCGTTCCCGCAATGGTCTGCTCTGAGCTCATGGCCAAGGCCACCCTCCGCTCTGCACTGGACCTCAGGCCCTGTCTGTCCCCCAAGTTCTCCTTCACCGGAGCATGTGCACAGGAGGGCGGAGAGTCTGTGGTTTATGCCTGTCACGTCAGGTCCCCTCAAGACGTACCGCTCACCCCGTTTTGGGGCCCTTTTTCTGTGAGCTGCTTTAGTGCCCCTCCTCCTTGTCCCTCATGACCCCTCCTCCGCTGTCACACCTCTCATCAGCATCAGCAGGGCTCCCACATGGCAAAACCCCATGGCCGATGCCCTGTCCCCCTGCTCCTTAGGACAGCCAGGCCGGCCTGGCATGGGACACAGCCACATTCCCCTCCGTGAGATGTTTCTTCACATGGCGTCCAGTCACCACTGTCTCTCGGCTTTCCCCCTCCTGACTTCTCTTCAGTTTTACTTATTGATTGTTCCCCTCATTCCTAGAAGCTCTACTCACTAAATATCCAAGAACTTGACCCTTTTCTCTCCTCTTTCAGCTCCATTTGCGCTCACCCCTTGGCGATCTCATCCAGTCTCATGGCATTTAATGCCGTTGCCTGTGAATGGTTCCTCATCTGCATCAGTAGGGCAGACTCCTCTTTAACTCACCTTGACGATCCAGCTGCCTGTGGAAGCCTCTCCCCCTGCACAGTCGATGGGCGCTGCAGATTGTCCAGAGCAGGCCCCTGTCCTCTCAGCACAGCCAGCTCCTCCTGCTGTCTACTCCATCTCGGGACAGGGGAACGCCACAGTTTTAAGTTCCTCGGGCCAAATGAAGTCATCCTTTGATGTCACCCTTGCTCCTCTCTCATAATGTCACTTGTCCACTCAATCACATTGCTCATAGGGTGAAAACATACCCAGGATCAAACCACTTCTCACCACTCCACTGCCACCGTGCCAGTCCGGCTACATCAGCCTTGCCTAGTTTTCTGCAATAACCTCCCAGCAGGGTTCTCTGCTTCCTCTCTCAAGCCCCTTTTATGCACCTTGAATGTCTTCCCATCTCACCTGTAGTAAGAGTCAAACTCCTTAGAAGGGCTCGCAAGGCCCTACGTAATCCGCCCGCCCCCCGTTATCTCTGCGTACCTCCACCCCCCTTCCCTATCTCCGCTGCAGCTGCGTTGCTCTCCGCTGTTCCTCACGCAGGCCAGTCACACCCCCACCCCTGGGCCCCTGGGAACTCCTGTCTGGACACCCACAGCCCTTATTCCCTCGTCTCCCTCAGTCCTGGCTCCAAAGCCAGCTTTCAGAGGGGCTTTTCCCAACCACTCTGTGTGGAACTGTATTTCTCCATTTCCACCCCAGCACTCACCCTTCCTTTTATAACACTTAGTGCCACTTAACATATGATCATTTTGTTTATTCACTTGTCTATGCACTGGAATGTAAACTCCATGAGGGCAAGGTTTTTGTCTGTTTTGTCCTCTACAGTTTCCCCAGTACCAATAAAAACTTATTCAATGGATTTCGATGACTTTTCTACCTCTCTCTGATCTCAATACCCGTTTTTCAAAAGATTGGCGAATGCACCTGGTAATAGGAGGGCTTGAAAGTGATGATGGTGAGTCTAAGGGGGTGGCACCTTAATATTTCCATGAATATCTAATAATCTGATTTTTCTCTTCCAGCTTAACACCAAAACGTCCCCAGCAACCAACCAGGCACCGAGCCCAGAGGAAAAGGGTGAGTGGCACTGGGGCAGGCTCTTTGCAGAGCATGTAGGTGACACGTGGACGTGAAGACAGGCAGAGCTGTGATTCTGAAGTGCCCAAAGTCAGATGTCATAGCAGCATGGATGAGGGCAAGAAAGCACCAGAGTAGAACTACTGTTTCTATAGGTCTGCTTCCACTCTTTCCTGAGAAGTCCACCTACTGACGTTCACTCTTAGATTCTAGAAACTGGCTCTGGAGTGGCGGGAGACAGGCACAATGATAGGAAGAAACTCGTCACATAATCCCAGGCAGTGCCTCCATCAGAAATGGAGGGGCTGGGCATGAGCCCCGGGCTCTGAACTGCACGGTTCAGGAATAAGTTGTAAGAGAAGGTATTTTCCACATTGGCCCAAGCAGCAAAGCCCCCAAGTAACTGTAACTGATTCTCAGCCTCGGTTCCTGGACTCAAACTTCTTTTTAAAAATTATTTTTAATTTATTGATTTTTAGAGAGAGAGAGCGATTTGTTCTACATATTTATGCATTCATTGGCCAATTCTTATATGTGCCCTGACCAGGGATTGAACCCGCAATCTTGGCGTATGGTCTCACCAACTGAGCTATGCAGCCAGGGTTTCCAGACTCAAACTTCTAGGGGGGTCAGCAGAGACTGGGAGACCATACAGAGCCCAGCAGACGGGGGTCCTAGAGCAAGGGGCTGGGCCATCAGGGTTTCTTCACTCGTGCATCTCTGACGCCCGGCAGGGAAGCCCGGCCGTGCCAAGAAAGCGGAGGAGGAGGAGGAGGTCGACATCGACCTGACGGCTCCGGAGACAGAGAAGGCCGCCCTGGCCATTCAGGGCAAGTTCCGGAAGTTCCAAAAGAGGAAAAAAGACCCCAGCTCCTGAGCCAGCAGCCTTGCCCTCACCCTGCTCCCTCTGTCCCTGCCCCGCCGCTCTGACTCCCACGCCCCGTGTCTCTCTGTCCCCCTAGCCTCTTGAGAGGGCGATTTTGACCCTTGTATGTTATTTTCTGTGGCCCCCTCAAGCCATCACGGCAGTAGAGGCACCAGAAGCAGAGGGAAGGTGAAGACTTCAGTGGGCAGTCACTTGCCTGAGGGTGGACCAGCTTCTGCTCGGGACAAGCCTCCCTCCTTGACCAGTACCTCTGCTGCCCCGTGAGGTCCGAGTGGAAGAGACTTTGAGTCTGACAGGGTTGGGGGGGGGGGCCTGGCCATGGGGGAAGGAGAAGACAGGCTTCCGAGTAGGGTGCCTGAGAGTGGGGCCTGCACACCTGTCTGCCTGCCGTCACGACTGTCAACTTCGGGTCACATCGTCCCCTCCTCCCCTCTTCTCCCCCTCCTCCTTTCCCTCCTCTGTGCTGTGCCGCAGCGGGGACAGGAGCCCCCTGCCCCAGGCAGGCCTGCGTCCAGCAGCTCCCACGTTAGTGCGTGCAGAGTGGATGAGTTCCGCGGGAGGCGGTGGGACGGGGGGAGGCCAGGGAAGTTCCTTCACCATCGAGGCAGGGACCCGAGGGGCAGAGGCAGGGATGTGGGGACTTGGGAAGATTTGGAGAGGAAGAGGAATGAGGGGATGAAAGTGTGCTCTGTGGAAAATTCTTGGGGCGTTGCTGACCCACCTCCTCTATCCCCCATATCTGGCCCTCCCTCAGAGGCCACACAGACCATGTGACCCCCGTAGCTCCTACCTGCCCCACTGTGTAGTCGGGACCGAAGTGGAATAGCCACTCTGTGATTTTGGCATGTTTGATAATTACATTAAAAATATTTTTAAAACCCTCACATGGAGTCATTTGACCTCTCCTGGCTTTTTTCGGGGACAACACTGGCTGGAGCTGGCTCTGGAGAGGGTGGTGGGGAGATGACACAGGGCACAGGTGCCTGGGCACTTTCACACGGAAGCCGCCCTCCCCGCCGCCCCGGCCCGGCCCTCGCCTTGCTCCCCCGCCCGCACCGCCGTCTTCGGCTGCCTCACCACGCCGGCACCTGCTGCTCTATCTCCCCGCCCACGCGCACAACTGTTTACCAAACATAGCAGCAGGAGATGTCTCTGGGTCACATTGAAGACTTTCAACTATAAATTAAATAAACTAATGGCTTTCAAGAGATTTTACATTGTTGACAGATGACCTCTATCTATCGAAACCAGAGCCAAATGCTCGAAGATCAAGCAAGGAACGCCTGTCTCCCCCACTGCCCTCACTTCTTCCAGTTCTTCCTTTCCTGAGTCACCAATGCAGAAGTTGAAACCATGTTGCAGCTGCCAGTAGGAAGCCAGGGGTGATACCCCTGGAAGGGCACCTGCCCACAGCGCGAAGCCGACTGGTGCCTGCGAGCCCACGGCTACAGGATGTTGGGAGCACAGGAAGGCCCTCTGTTACTGGAAGTACCTTCTCCCCCTGTGCGGAGCAAAGAAGGAAATTTTGCGTTTGGAATCTGTTCTCGGTGCGGTACAACACTGATGGTGGCTTTCAGTCCTGGCCTCGTGGGCCAGAGAAGGATGACCTCATTGCCACACCTGCTGTGAGCCCAGCATGTCCTGGCACAGCGGCAGCAGGCCCTGTCCCCTTGTTCCATGGGAGGCGAAGCAGGGCCCCGGGCCCTGGGCCCTGGGGAGGCGGCCTCAAGGAGCTGGCTGGTGCGAGCCCTCTGCTGCGGGCTTCCTGCTGGGAGGATGATCTGGGGCGCGGTGCTGAAGTGGTTTCTTCCCTTTCCCATTTCCTGCTCCCAAAGTATCCCACGTGTCCTCACGCGTGTTTTAAGGCAGGTAGCAAACAGGTTGCAGCTTTGGGGAAGAGAGCTCTGACCGGAAAGAGGTTTAGGCCCCTCACCTGTGCAGGGTTGTTTGCAGCACTGGTGGCCCTGGCAGCTCCCCCGTCCCTGCTGGACTCAGCTCGGCTCCGAGCCCCAGTCCTCCCGGGGATCGCCCCAGGGAGCTGCTGCCTCCCCACCTTCACCGTCTTCTCTGGGAGAGTAAATGCAGGGCCTGACACACCGCTTCGCACATAGCATGAGCCCACTGGATGTTCGGATGTGGGGAGGTGTCTCGCGGGCCTAGTTCAGGGTTCAGACCATTACACTAGGGAAGCCCACAGGTAGCCAAGGGGCCTCACTGACCACAAAGCCAAGTCCCGGCAGGGCTAGGCGCTAAGGAGGAAAGCCGCTGAGGAGGAGGGGGTGCAGGATGGAGCGGCAGGGGTGGTTCCCAGGAGAATGAGGCAACCAGAGATGCGGCCACAGCTTCTGGAAATGTCAGTGTTTATTAAACATATTAGGGCATTGGGGGGTTTGAGAAGAAATATACAGAATGTAGAAAAATCCCAAGAATCCCCTGTGGCTGGGAGTGCAGCCTCTTCCCTTTCTCCCTATTTCCTATGTGTTTTTCCTCCGTTCTGTTTGGTTGTTTACAAGCCATTTCTTGAGGCTCACCGGCCCCCTCTCCTCACCCCCTGACCTGTGAGGACCCACTGTCCCTCCCCTTCCCCGTGACCTGGAGTCCCAGAACAGGGCCCCCGGGGGGTTGGGGCCCCAGTCCTGCAGCTGAGGTTTGCGGGTGAGGGGCCCCCTGCTGGCTCTCCGTGAAGGATTTTACGGGGGTGGGGACTGCAACATCCACATGACGTCATTGGTACTCAGTCATGGGGGAGGCGCAGAGCAGGACACAGGTGCACAAACAAACATGGATTGAAAAATAACAACAACCACCTAAATAAACCCTGAAGGACAGTCCGATCCAGATGATCCAGGTGTTAGCCGGGAGGACACAGTGTGGCGCCGGACCGGGAGGGTCAGGGAGGGGAGAGGCAGAGGGGCAGGCCGGGGGGCACAGGGGGTGGGGGTGCAGGTGGCCTGGAGTCGAGGCGCAGGGTAGCAAGGTCCCTTTCTTCTCAGTGCCGGAGGGACAGGCACCAAACACACAGTCCTTGGGGGCGGTGCAGGGTAGGATCAGGCCCTGGGCTCCCAGAAGGCCAGGGGGTGAAGGTAGGGGAGAAAATGACGTGCCTGGGGAATGAATTTTGGAACGAAACTTACATCTCGTAGGTTGGTGAGGGCAGGGCGGGGCAGGGCTAGGCGCTAAGGAGGAAAGCCCCAGACGGGGTCAGAGGAGCCTAGGTCCCCAGCTCTGGCGGGGCCTGGCCGGTCACTTGTCCGAGTCCAGGCCCATCATGTTCTTGAGGGCGTTCTTGAGGCTGGTTCTGCTGGGGGACTTGACAGCAGGCCGGAGCTCCGAGCTCTGCTCGTCCTTTCGAAGCTCCATCTCGATGACCACCACCTGAGCGCCTTTGGAGGGCTCCGCCCCTGGCCCCCGAGCCCCCGCCCGGCCCGCTAACCGCTATTTCTTATCCTTGCGAGATTCCCCCAGCCCCTTGGACTTCTTCTCACTGGCAGCCTTGGTGCTCCTGCTGTGGTCCAGCATGGCATACAGCACGGGCGTCTGGGGGAGGGGCGCACGTCAGTCACCCGGCCCCCCCTCGCTGTGCCCGGCGGCGCCTCCCCAGCGGTCCAGGCCCCGAGCCCCGCTAACCTGCCGGCCGCGCTTGGAGTCCTTCCCAGCCTTGTGCAGCTTCCCCTTCTCCATGGCACTGAGGGGACATGGCGGGGGTGGGGGTTGTGGGTGAGGCCCCGCCAGAGCCCCCTTCCCCTGGGCCCCTGCCCCGGGCAGCCTCGGCCTACCTGAGCCTCCTCTGCAGGGCCGCCTGCCTGCGCAGCCAGCAGTAGCGCACCAGGTAGAAGAGCAGCAGCAGCAGCAGCACGCCGCCCAGGACGGCCCCGATGACAGCGCCCAGCACCACCCCGTAGCGAGTTGGCACTGGCGGAGGAGGGGAGCCAGTGAGGGACACAGCGGGGGCCTGATCCCCGCCTGCCGCCTCCCCCCTGCCGGCGGGGAGGTGCGGCCACAGCGGCCTTCTGCCACCGTCCCAGAGCCTGATGGTCGCCAGCCTGCCTGCCCCCCACCACACACTTCCCGGCCCCCCCAGACCCTGCCCCATTTCCTCTCTCACCTTTTTCAAAGACATAGAGCGTGACCTGAGAGGTCTTGCCCACGATGTCCGGTGGGTTTTTGACGTCACAGGTGAAAGTGCCGTTGTCACTGTAGTCCAGGTTGTGTATGACAATGGAGCCGTCTTTCCAGCGAGGGTCCCCTACCCACTGGATGCGCTCTTTGAAGGTCCCCACCTCGTCGATGTAGGGCTGTCCCTTGGCGTAGTGGAAGATCTGCGAGGAATGACGGGATGCGTGTAGCTGTAGCCCCAGGGCAGGGGGCCTGGGCTGGGTGGGTGTTGCTGGGGGGGCCCGTGCAGAGACGCCATGGTTGGGTGACAAACATTGACCCTTACTTTGCTGAAGTTGGGATTACGGCTCCTAAAAGATCCCCCCTCCTCAGCTCAAGTTCTCTTTTCCGTCATCTGGGAAGCACCTCTCTGTTATCCAGGCCCAGGCTCCCCCAGGCACTCACCGAGATGGCATCGCGGCCGCCTTCGGGCTGGTAGCGCCAGGTGAAGGAGATGTCGTCAGAGACCCACTCGCTGGACCAGAAGGAGCAGTGCAGGGTCACTCGGGAGCCCACAGCGCCATGGACTTCCCTGTCCGTGTAAACCACGATGGCCTGGGCCGGGGCCAGCACTGCGGGCACAGAAGGGATCGGATGTGCACGTGGGCCCCGTGGGGACACGAGGAGCGGTCAGGGAGGCCCAGGCCACGGTGGGGCCGCAGCAGAGACGCAGCCCCAGGCTCTGGGCTCCCTGGACAGCTGAGCGGAAACACCGTGCTGGTCAAGAGGCAACAAAACGGGATGCAGCCGGCGCCTGGAGGGCAGCGCGGAGCGGCAGTCTGTCTCGACGCCTCGCTGTCCCTCCGGCTCTGAAGCTCTCCCTCAGCCGCAGGCTTTACAATTTTTAAAATTTGCTATAAATCATAGAGGTAATACATATCACATTCTTCTTGTAAACTATTCAAGCAACAGCGATAAAGCTGAAGTCTCTGTTGACGTCACTCAGCCAATTCCTTTCCTGTCGTCCCCTCCCGGGTATGACCACGACTGCCAATTTAATGTGAAGTTTTTCCCATGAATAAAACGCAATGTAAACTTAATAAACTGAACACATACAGGTACTTATGTATATATATATATATATATATATATATATATATATATAGACAATACATGTACCTGGAGGGGGTTTCCATGTTGATTCATAGAGACAGTCTTGTCTTTTTGGGTTTTTTTAAAGATTTTATTTATTCACTCTTAGAGAGAGGGGATGGGAGGGCGAAAGAGGAGGAGAGAAACAGCAAAGTGCAAGAGACAGATCAGATCAGCGGCCCTTTTCCACACCCCCAGCGGGGGACCTGGCCTGCAACCCAGGCACGTGCCCTGAGCAGAAATCAAACCAGAAAACTTTCAGTTCGCAGGCCGGTGTTCAATCCACTGAGCCACATCAGCCAGGGTGAGGGAACCTTGTGTTTAACAGCCACATAGGATTTCACAGTACAGTAAACTCAACTTTTTTTTTTTTACAGAAAATACATGAAGGTAACTAGAAAACGTAAGTCCTCTTCCCTGTCTACTGTTCTTGCTGGTGCAACACGCCCTGCGCTTGACTGGGGGCAGCTGGGCGCAGAGCAGACCCTGAGCCCAGAGCTCAGATGGCTGCAGGGAGCCCTCTGGGGTTCGACCCTCCTCACCCACCTCTTGGCCATTCTGGGCCGGTGCCACGTCCAGGACCCACCCACACAAGGAAGGCCATTCCAGGAAGATTATGTGTGTGGGCTGGGCCTGGGCAGGGGCAACTGTAGACCCTTTTGTTCTACGGGAGGGGGCGCAAGCAGCCCAACAGAGAGACCTATTGTCTGAGCAAGGTTGGGGGCTCATGCCACGCCCCCATGGTTCTGAATCTCCCACCTCAGCACGCAACATCATCAACTTGCTGCCCAGGACCCCTGCCTGAGAGCCTTCCTGGGAATCCCAAATGTTACAAGGGGAGCTATTCACGGGGCCTACCTCCTATTCTTCCTGTCCCCGGGTCAGTCCCCGCCCTTGCGCTTGGCTCCGCGAGGGGGACAGAGCTCCCTCTCCTGTCTTCGGGATCCCCTCTCCCAGTTCCCTCACTGTGCCCCTCTCCAGCGCTGCCTCAGGCACAGCCCAACAGAGTCTAGGTTCGGCGTGGGGACTCAAGCAGCTGACGGCAGAGAACCACCTTGGGCGCGCTGAGCAGCGACTGCCCATTTGCCTGCTGCTCCAGGACAGTTCGGAGGCGAAGGGCGGAATCCATTCAAGGGACCTGCTTTGACCTCCTCCTGCTCACCCCAGCATCTACCACGGGGCAAGGAGCGGGTCAATCAACTTAGGAAGGAAGGCGGCTTTCTTTCGGTGAACAAAATCCCAGAATCCCACAGACGCTTCCTCCTACTCTTTCCACCCCTATGATAGACAATCAGTCCACAGAGAGAAACCGAGGCACCGGGAGAAAAAGGACACAAGGAGCTGGGGTCACAAACTGGGGCCTTTTCCTGAAATCGCAGTTCCTGGGATTTCCCCTCAGGGAGACGGAGGGTTGGAACCTCCTTACGAGGCGGTGACAAGGGACCACAGCCAGGCGTCTGGTCCTGGTCCTTCTGCCCTCACCTCGCTTCCCCCAGGCCCTCAGCGTGGCCCTCAGGCAGGTGGCTGGTGCCACCTGGGTCCAGGCCACCTCAGGGAAGCTCCCTACATTTTCTTTTACCTCCTCCCTTCATAGAACACCTTCATGCCTCCCTCCAAACTGCATATTTCTTCTCTGACTAGCCTATCCCCTTCCTGCTCCTTCTCGCTCTTTCTTTGGCTGCAGTGGGCAGCAGGGAGCTGCTGGGAGAACCCGAGTCCCAGCCCCAGGCCGGGGCGACTCCACTTACCCAAAGAGGAGAAGAGCAGCACAGCCAGGACAGGGCTGGGGCTCGGCGGGGCAGCCCCAGGACCCATAGCTGGGGCAGGGTCTGTGGGGCTGAGAGAGTGGGGGACCAGGAACTGAGCGGGGGTTCCTGGAAGCTGCTTAAAATCCCCCGGGGCCCCAGAATGAGGGGGCTGTCCTGAGCCAGTAACCAATGGGAGCCTGGCATGTGCAGTTGAGAGGTGGCAGGGAGGGGGGCAGAGTGCAGGGAGCAGAAGGGGCATTGTGTCCTCTGGGTGGCGGGGTGGGGGGACACATGCCACCCCATACACAAAGGGCTTTGTGTCTGCTGGCCTCCCCCTGCCCCAGGCTGGAATGTTGGGGGGTGAGGGAGAGGGACAGAAACAGGGACACAAACACTTCTGTGAGGCACAGAAGGGCAGGGGGACCTGAATCCTAAGGCTGGGAGGAGGAGGTCCCTCCCCAGACCCCTTGCCTGAGACGGTGCCCTCAGCGCCCTGGGAGCTGCAGGCAGGGTCCCTGAGAGATCTGGCAAGCAGGGTGTCCACTGTGGCCGTGACTACCACAGGCTTCTCGAGGTGACCAGGTCCTTTGGGAGCCTCCTGCTTTCCCCACCTTCCTGCCTCCTGGGTGCTTCTGCCCAGATGGACGTTTCCTCCCCTGGACAACATCCAGGGAGGAAGCCCCTCACTTCTCCCTCTCTGTCGGAGGGTCCCGCAGGGCCTCCGGCTGCAGTTCAAGCCCGTTTCTGTTTAGAGCAAGTCAGCAGGACTGGACGGAGTGCCAGCTAAAGTACGGTGTGGGTAACAGAGAGAACAACAAAGATGAAGCCCCTCCTTCCAGGAATCCGAGATCTAGTTCGGGGGGCAGAGAGAGGAGGATCCGAGGACGACCCCACCGACATCGCTAAACCCTGCGCTTGCTGCGGAACGCCGAAGCGCTGGGAGCTCCCAGGAGGCACCCACAGCTGCCGTGGCGGGAGGGCGTTCTGCGACAGAGCTTTCATAAAGGCATCTTACTTAATCAGTGAAGTTCAGGGAAGGGGAGTCAAGTCCTGAAGGCAATGTCCGCTATGGCCAAACCTGAAAGGGCGGGTGCCATTTTGCAAAGGAAGATGTAGCCAGACAGCGAGGGTATCTAGGCCGCAGAACAGCACGCCCAGCGACAGCGCCGCGAGAACCTGTGTGCGCTGAGTAGGTCTGTCGAGCACTGGGCTTGCTCAGGCAGAGCTGGGGCCACCCGCTGGACTTGATTTGGGGGCACCTCGCTGAAGGGGCGTCATAGGAAAGGAGTCTGTACAGGACCTCGAAGCTGGTTGTGACGGGCCTTAGAATACAGGCTACAGAGGGTGGATCTAGGTTGTATTCTAAGAATTTCCTGAAAGGTTTTGGGGAAGAGTTTAACGATGGGAGTATCTCTATGCTCAGAGCTGTTTTAAGACAAATCTGGCCAGAAAGATCATTCCGACCAGAGCCCCCCCCAACTGGATGTGGCCTCCTTTCTTTCCCTCCTGGGGATCAGCGCAGTGATTTTGCTCTTTGTGGAACCTCTCATACTCCCTCTGGAATGTTGCCCCTTCTCTCTTCCCTTGCCTTTCAGCCCAAGCCTGGGGTCCATCCCCTTCTCTGTCCTGCTTGTTTGTAAAACGAGACCTGGTACTCAGAGGACTGACTTAAGGTTTGGTCTGCGTTTCAGGGCGATGCATTTCCATCGACTCGGGCCTCCGGGGGTTAGTTTGAGGGTCACGGCTCTTCCTGCCAGGGGGCCACTGCTCCCGTTACCTCCCTGGCATCTCCTCACACTCCAAACTCCGTGGATTTCCTGATTGGTATTATATTTGCATTTGATGCAGAAATAACTGGATTTATGCTATTTAAACCCTGAGTGGAAGGTGCCGGAGTGCTGCATATAACAAGGTCTGACGATGTAATGGGCACGTTTCACATCAGTGCGGAGTTGACCGGCGGTCTCCTTCCCGCCTCCGCTCCACTCTTCTGCTTCTCCCTCATGCTCCTTGTCTCCCCTAAGTCCCAAATGCTCTGCAAGTGGTTGCTGTGCTTGGGTTTCTCAAAGCTGCTCACAAATATATGAGATCCAAGCGAAGTCGGCCCACCCCCACCGAGGTTCTTCTGGCCGTGGGCGTCACCCACAAGCCTGAAACAAGGGACAAGGGAGCCTTGTGCTGGATGAGTGGGCGTTCGGCTGGGGCGCGGGGCTGCGGGCGTTTGAGGAGCTCGGGGCCTGGGAACGTCTCCCCACGGCCCATCCTCACTCCCGACCTGGGTCTGGACTCGTGCGTCTCCGCACAGGCGAGGCTGCACGTGAGGACAGGAAGGAACGGGTCTCGGGCGGCCGACGGCGCCGTCTGACCCCGCGGGGCGGGGCGGGGAGCAGACCGACAGGTGCTGGGGAAGAGTCAGGCCCAGGTGTCGGTGCCGCGTGCGCATCAAAACGAGAAACGTACACTGGAGGCGTTTGAGCCAGCGGCGACACCCTGGAAAATTCTAGTTGTCAGTTGAGGGGGTCGGGGCGGAGACCCCAACTCAACACCACATCAACGTGTAACCCCGACACCTCCCGGCTGGAGCGGCTCGCGACCTTTTGTAGCGGTCCGCGCGGTCACAGGACCGAGGCCCCGCCCACCGCCAGGGCGGCCCGATGTGACGTCACTTCCGTTCAGGCCGGAACCCAAGATGGCTGCGCTGTTGTTGAGGTGACTTTCGTGTGGGGCAGGGAGTAGGTGCCGGCGGCCCCCAGGAGACCTGCCGCGGCCGCCGGCGTCTCGCGGACGGCCGTTCACCCCGTGCCCCGGGACGGGAGGGGCCCGCGGCCGTGGAGCCCGCGCAAGGCCCAGCCACCCCTCCCGGCTCCCGCCGCTCCGCGCGGCGTAGGGGCACCGGCCCGCTAGGTCTCCTCTCGTGGGCGCGGAGGGCGTGGGCTCCCGCCCGACCTGCCGCCCCCGCCGCCCTCACCGCCGAATGTGTCCCCAGGCCCCTCTGCGGTGCACCGGGAGCCAGGCTCCGAGGAAATAAATGCGGGTTTACGTCGGAGATGTGGCGTGTTCTGTTCACACCGCGCAGTAAAGCGAGACTTGGGGGTCGCAGTAAAGCCAGCAGTAGCCTTTTTGCTGGGGGGTTGGGGGGGGGGTCTCTGCTTAAATTTCTTAAAAGCAGGCAAACAAAAAACACCACCTGTGAGGCGCATGTGCCTGTGGCTCCAAGAGGTCAGCGAACTGTGGGTTCTGCCATATCGATATCTTAGGACTCGGGCCTGGCGGGGGCAGGGCTCGATGTACTTTGCCTTTGCTTCTGCTTCCGTTGCCTGCAAACGCAGCTGCTGCAGGGAGCGGGCCTCCTCCCGGCCGCACGAGCGCCCAGTGGGTTCAGTTTTAGGCTCTCTTCTTATTGGGGGGGGCGGGAGGGAAGTCCCAGTTTTTCCTCTACAATGTGAACTCCTGTCCAGAGAAGCACCCTCCGCTTTCTCTCCGCCGAACTGCCCACTCCGCAGGCCTCGTTCCCTGCGCGGAGCCTTTCGGCCGCAGCGCTTGTAGTGACTTCCACTCCTGGTACGAGTCCCAGAGTAGGTTTGTGCCAGCCCTATTTCTGGAAGCTATTTGTTGTGGAAAGTTAGCTTTGATGCTGTTGAGATTTAATTCCTGATTTACCCAAATGTCTCCTTGTTTCTCTTTCCACTTAAGTCACCCAGTATAAAAATAGCGGGAGTTTATTTAGTTTGTTGACAACATGATTCCTTTGGGAGTTGAGATCAGGAATGGGTCATCTTATGTTTTTCTCCTTGCCGCTCGCTTCCAAATGAATCTCTTTTTTCTAACATGTGCTTTTCCCAGTCTTGCCAGAACTGCCTCCCTTATTCTAGTTTGACCACGGTCAAATGCTTTTGGATTCTTTGATAATGTCATATTTTGGTAGTGGCCAAAGGCTTCTGGTGGAGGTAATGTCTAGCTTGGAATGATCGTATTGGTTGTGAACCGCTCATTTTAGGAGTTTCGGGATGAAGTTTAGAGCCTGGGGATCGTTCTGCTGGTGAATTGTGTGGGGACAGTGTCTGCTCGGTGCTGTGGGGCTGTCACCGGCGGCATCCAGTGCCAGGACGCAGACGTTTCCGCCAGCGGCCGTCTGAGGCTCTGGTCTTTCCTCGTGAGGGGTTCTGTAGGAGGGCTTTTTAGATTAAAAAGTCCTGATGAAGTTTCAGTTCTCACTTCACTAGAGGGATTTGGGACTGTTTGTATTGTGCTGGTTGAACCTCAAAGGAAAATACCTTCTAAGAAATTGGGAGCTGGTTTCTGATTCCATTTATTTTGAACAAGTCAAGGTCATTGATTCCACGATTGTGGATTCCTCATTTGTAAATGAAAATATGAATAACTTGGTCTCCCTTAAGAGAAATATTAGCCGGACATTTTTAATACTTGGGTAAGTAGTAGTAGTTGCCAGAACGCCGTGTGTCGTGGCGTTTGTCTGTTCCCTGAACGGTTCGTGGATTAGCAGAGCCAGGCCCAGCCCACTGCGCTCAGTCAAGGGAGGACCTGCGAGGGAGAGGCCGGGGCCGAGGCCGGGGCCGGGGCCGGGGCTGGCGGGGCTTCTGCCTGACTGTTCGTACCGGCTAAGCACCAACCACCAAGAGCCATGAGCCTTCTGGGCATTGCTTGTCATATTAAATTCTGCATGTGAAACATATCCAAACATACGTTTTAACTCTGCATTTGTAAGACTGCTTTTTAACATAAGCATCCTCATCCACAGACCATTTTCTGGAGCCTCTTCTATGTGTCAGACATTATTGCAGGTGCTATACATGCAGAGTATTCCTGACCTGTCCTTGAGGACCTCAAAGTCTAGCAGAGCAGATAAATAAACAGATTCAGTATTAAGCAACGTGATAGATGTTGCTATAGAGATATGAACAGTGGGGCGGTGGCATTGCCATGCGGGGGGCTGGTGTTGAAGGATGAGAGTATCAGGCTGTGAGCGACGCTCCAGTCAGAGAAGGGTGTGAGCAAAGGCCTGTGCGCTACGAGGGCTTGGCTGTGTGGGCGTGGTGTGGCGTGCAGGGTGGCAGGGTGGTGTGGCGTGCAGGGTGGTGTGGCGTGCAGGGTGGTGTGGCGCGTGCAGGGTGGTGTCGCGTGCAGGGTGGTGTGGCGTGCAGGGTGGTGTCGCGTGCAGGGTGGTGTCGCATGCAGGGTGGTGTCGCGTGCAGGGTGGTGGAAGTGTAGCGGCTGAAGGGAATTTGTTGAAGAATAGGTCCAGAGTTGGACTGGGCCGTATGGAGAAGGGCCTTGTTTGTTTCCAGTAGGAACCTAACACTATACGCAATGGGAAATGGTTAGACTTCTAGGCAGAAGAGCAGTGGAATCAGCTTTATTTTTAAAGTGAGCTCTGCTCATAGGAACAGCAGGGAGGAGATCGGTGCTCGGGAGGTCGTTCAGGAGCTCGGCGATGGTGCTCCTGGCGAGCCATGAGGAGCACGCCGACGGAAGCAGTGAGCTGAAGTCCCCAGGTCGCGTGGGTGGGCGTGGGTGAGGCCTTGCACATGCGTGTGTGGGGGGCGCTCAGTGAGAGGAAGGAAGAGATGATTTTCGTTGCAGCTCAGGAGTTAGTTGCGGGCTAATAACCATTGATCAGAACTTTTGTACATAAATGATTACTCTTCCCCGTGTCTTTTAAGGCTGTACATCTCTTTAGTGTTGCTGTTGTCAGACATTGATGAAGCTTTTTGGCGTGCCGTCATATTAAGCTTAGAGGTCATAAGAGAAACTCATTGTATTATAGTCACATTTTATTTTGGACCAAAAATGGTTTTATTCCATTTGATCACATAGCTCCAAACTCTTCTTGATCCAAAATTCAAATTCATTTTCAGCAGATGAGTATTTTTATCACCACTAAGGGTTTTAAATGGAATGTGACGCGAATTCTAAAAACCTTGGGGAGACCAATGGATTAGCAATATCTGTCATAGGTGGTACATTGTAGTTCAGAGAATGCTTTCCTGTGTGTTTTCTTACGTAACCTCAGCAAAAGTAAGGCAGGTAGTAACAATTCCATTTTATGAATGGAGGACCGAAGCTCAGTGACTCACTGAAGGTCTACAACTTAGGCAGGTCTGGAGCTCGAGTCCGGCTTTTTACTTTGGTGGTGTTTCTACGCCACTGTTCTTGCCGGGTCCAGAGAACAGTTCCCAGTGACAGCCTGAGCAACGATCCCATTTTGGGGAAACGTATGTAATGCATTTAGAAGGGAGCAGCATAACAAGAAATTGTAAGTCCTGGGCTTGTTAATTTCAAATAAAACAAAGTAATGTTACTTTCTAGCAATATGGTCCTGGGAGGGAAGAGAGATCTCGGCAGAGCTCCTGGTTTCCCATGGTGACGAAGGTAGGTGAATGCTTCTGTCACCTCAAGGCCAGGTTCTGCCGTTTGTGCAGCCAGGTTCTGTTAGGGCCTTGGGAAAGTGGACGCTGGTATTCGTCTGGGAAACAATAGCACTAGACAGACAGGCTGTAGATTCCAGCCCACGTGTGCAAGCGCTCACTGGGAGCCACGGGGCTGGGGCTCGCGGGGCGCAAGGAATGTGAGCCCCCAGCGTCCGAGCCACAATCCCTCCCATTGATGTGAAGAGGTCTGTTCCCACTGCTTGCCCTCGGACACACAATGTCCGCATTCACCTCATGCCTCCAAAGCTGGAAAGGGAAGAGCTGAAGGAAGTGCTGGTTGGATTACTGGCCCTTCAAGCGTGGGCCCTTCTAGTGTCCTGGTGTAGAGCACGAGGCTCCCGAGATGCTGAAGCATCTGCTGTCCGTGGGGGGAGGAGCGGGGGGATGGGGGACAGGCCACTGCCAGGGTCCCAGAGAGACCTGTGTCCCTGAGGGCTGGGCTGGGCCAGACTGGAGCGCCGGGAACAACTACTGTCGAGTGGGAATGGGGGCGCAGCAGCAAGGCTGTCCCAGCCCGAGCTCGGGACCCGTGTGGCGCTCTGCCGAAGGGGCGCCTGCGCGCATTCCAGTGTCAGACCTGGGAAGCAGCGGCTTCCCAGTTGAAAGTGCGTGTCCTCAAGGGCTGCTCCCTGGGCGCAGCAAAGAAGCCTTTGTGTTCCCGTGTTTTTTGCATTGTTGCGTGAGACACTTTTGACTTGGAGTTCTCCCAGGTTGTCTGAAACTTGATGGAGTTCCTCACACGAGAGCTTAGTATTTGTGGCCGTCTGTCCGCGGGCCCCTGTTCCCCCACCTGCAGGAGGCGGCTGTGTGCTTGGACCTGCCCGCGGCTCACCCTGGTCTTTTATTTAACGTGTGCCTCTTAACCATCGCCTCCTCGAGACCCGACTTAGAAGGTCACTTCTGTATCTCCCTGGTACACATTCCCACCTCTGATCATGTTTTACCCTGCACTGTGTTCGGCCAAAACCCTGTTCTCCATTTCTGGGTAAGACTTGCGATTATCCCCAAGTTATTTAAAGTTGCAACTTTCCTGCTGGAAAATACTCTCAAGGACCCTGATGCTGTCACTCTTCCCCCCGCAAGTCTGATGCAGGACCGAGGTCTCCCGAAGTCTCCCAAGGCCGACCCCTGCGTGCGCATTGACTCGGGTTCTCTTGTCTTGCAGACATGTTGGCCGCCACTGCCTCCGAGCCCAGCTCAGTCCTCGGCTCTGTGTCAGAAAGTAAGTTTCTGAATCTGTGAGTATTGTTGCTTAGTTGTTGTCCCCCTTTGGGGAAAAGCCGTAGATGGGGGGTGGGGAGGCCTGAAAATACAGAGATGGTGGTCGCTCTTACCCATCATGCAGTACAAGGAAGGACAAGAATATTTCTTTGGTCTTTTGTTGACTTTCCTCACTTCTAGCTTTTCTGCTGTGTTTAACTTCATTGATTTAATCCAATTATTGATTCCTTCTTTGATATCTAATTTTCTTTCCTTTCTCTTTAGTCTTTCTTCCTTTAATGCTTTATTTCCTTGTAACCTTTAATTTTGGGCAGGAATTAGTCCTTAAATATACTTTCCTGCTACATTCATTTCTAGTCTGTTGATTTCAACAGTTGACTCTTTGTAATTTTTTTTAACTTTTAATTTTGGAAATAGACATTCAGAGAAGTTGGAAAAATAATGCAGTGAAGTTCTGTATACCGTTCACCTAGATTCGTCGGTTGTTAAAATTTTGCTATGTTTACTTACCACTACATATTTTAGTTTGTGCCATACGAAATTGGTATTTTCGTAAATCTAAACTGGCCTAATATTGACCGTTTAATGTAGTTCATTATATATTTAATTGTTATTATTTTCTCTGGATTCTTTGCAGTTGCACTGCAGGAATCATGACGTTTTACTTTGTTTCTCTGAGGAGGGCGGAATCTGGTTAGTGTAGGCATGGAATAGATCAAATTGTCGGACATAGCGGTTTAATAATTGGCTTCAGTCTGGCCCCGTGACAAGGGAAGCTAAGGGGGCATCCCGAGAAGCTGAGCCGAGTGCTGCTCTTGATTTTCACGAGCCCGAGAGGGGGAATTGAGGAGCCAGGCGGGAGCAGGCGGGAGTGCGTGAGGTGGCACAGGAGGCTGGGAAAGGGTAACCCACTTACGGAAGTGGTTTTGAAATGCTGCATCCGCCTTAATGCACAGCCGGCACGCGCTCCTCTCGGTGGCGCCAGCACTGGGGGGAACGGAGGGGGCCTGATAGGACCGTACTGGGCAGTGGCGGTCAAAAACCGAGTCAGACTTGGCAGAACGGTGAGGGGGGTGGACGAACCTGTTTTCCTCATGCAGTGGTTCATCCAGCCTAGCGTACCTTTTTTATTTTAACTTTTTGTTACATAAAACATTTAAACCAACTCTACTTGTAATCATGTGAAAACCTTCTGGTTTCATTTTAGTGCTGTTCCTTTGGGAACCACAGCCAAGGAAGAGATGGAGAGGTTCTGGAATAAGAACCTGGGATCAAACCGTCCTCTGTCCCCTCACATCACGATCTACAGGTAAGGGCCCTGTGCCTAGGAGAGCCCGCAGGAGTGGGCGAGGGTCCTGGCCCGGCCAGAGCCCCCGCTTACTGCCCTCAGGCCTGTTGTAAGAAAACAACTGAATTCTGTCTTCTGGCCTTAGAAGGGTAAACTGTGTACAAAGCTGCCTTTTGGAAAAGCCTGGTGAGTCAAAATGCTGTCAGTTTAAAATGTTACTTTGAAACAGTTTTGGATCGTGTGACTGTTGCAGAAACAGCGGGCCCAGCCCAGGCCGCGGGGATGTCAGCCCCGCGCCCGGGTCAGGTTCCTGTCGCGTCTCCATCGAGTCAGCCCAGCCTCTGTGGCTCAAAGCAGCGCCGTGGGTGCCCCAGCAGTTGGGGGTCAGAGGTCGACAGCGCCTCCCCGGGCAGAGCCAGGCTGCGGGCGAGGCTGGTCCCTTCCCGAGGCTCCGGGGAGGACTGGCCTCCTGGTCTTCCGGCTCCCGAAGGCTGCTCTGAACTCCGTGGCTCGTGGCCCCTTTCTGCATCTTCAGAACCGTCAGCGAGGGGTCAAGGTCACCTCCGGTCATCACTTGACCAGCTTCCGTTGTCACATTTCTTCTCCGACTGTCCTCTTCTGCCAGCCTCTTCCACGTTCACGGACCCTGTGATTGTGTGGGGCCCACCCAGGCCCGCCAGGGCGGTCTCCTTGTCTTAAGGTGGGCTTTTGAGTGGCCTTCCCTTCCTCTGCGGTCTCACGCGCTCACAGGCTCCGCGGCCAGCATGTCGGGGGAGGCCGTTGCTCTGGCTGCCGCGGCCCCTTGGTGCTTTGGCGCGCGCTCCCTGAGCTCACGGGCTCTCCGCGGTCCAGCCACCCCACTCGGGGGACGAGCGCTGGCCCAGGTCGTGTCTGACCCGCGGCCCCTCGCCGCGTTTGCCGCCTGTCCCAGTGGTGTCCTTTCTGGGCCTGGCGTCCCGCGGAGGCCCAATGGCGGTAACTCTTTCAGTGGCCTCTTGGACCTCCTTTAGGGTGGGACAGCTCTTTAGTCTTTCGTTACCTTCTATGGCCTGGTGCTCGGCGTGGGCCTTGCGCCTTTGGGCAGGAGCCCCAGAGGCGCTGCGCTCGGGTGCCTGTGTCTGAGGAGGCGCCCACTGGCCCGTGGCCCCGTTCCAGGCGATGGCCGGGGTGTGTCTGCTAGGTTTCTGCTACTAATTAGTGCCGATTTTGTGTGGACACACCCTGCCACCGAGCGCTCTGTTTCTCGTCGGACTTTTACCCGCCTGAATCAGTCGCCGCTGTGACAGGTTCCAGATGGCGATGTCCCTAATTCCATCACACCTTTTTGATTTACTTATTACCAGGGTAAAGCCCGCGTTCTTTACTGGTACAGACGGAAGGATCCCTAAAAGGAGAAGCATTCCTTTTCCCTCTACTCTCATGAAACCAACTGAAGGAGAAACACCAGATTCTTCTCTGCTCAGCATTCCTGCCGCCAAACGTGTGGGGGCTGTTCCCACACCAACCTGTTTGCCAACCGCAGGCACCAGTGGGCACCCTAGACGTGGCCATGGCGCGGACTCCCTGGAGTTCACGTGGGCCCCACAGGAGAGGCGCACACGCGGTCCCAGGGCCTGGGTCGTGACCTGTGCCTCACTGGCCAGCTGTCAGCGGGGCCTTCCCGACCCCTCCGTGGGGTCGGTGGTTTGGGCTCACAGAACTTGGCGGCATTCACTGACGTGACCTAGTTTAGCATAAAGACATTACAGATGAACAGCCAGTGCCCTGGTGGGCACTTCTTGGGAAGGGTCCTGATCCCAGGAGCTCTGTCCGCGGGGAGTTGGGGTGCCCCGCCCTCCTGAAAACTCTGAACCCCGTACATTTGGGGTTTTTATGGCGGCTTCAGCACATGGAGGCGATCAGTCATTAACTCGGCCTCGGGCCCTGCTCCCCTTCCTGGATGGAAGGGGGGTTGGGTTGGGGCCGAACGGCCCAGGCTTCCAGTCCTGGTCTGGTCTTTCTGGTGACCAGCCCACCCACATTCAGAGTCACCACATTTGAACAAAGGACGCTCTCCCCACCCAGGAAATGCCAGGGGATTGGGGAACTGTGTCAGGAACCAGGGTCAGAGACTGAAGACTGGAACGGAAGGTGCTCCGAGCGCCCCCTTACTCGGGCAGCGCAAGGGTTTCAGGAGCCAGAAGCAGAAAGGCGGACGGGGCTAGACTGCCCGCTGTTCCGGCCACAGGGCTCCACTGTTCGTCTCGTCCATTTTGATGTTCGGGCCGCCCCGGGCTCGGCCTGCGCTGCTCCTGTGCAGTCACGACCTGGTGACTGCGTGTGCTGTGGCCCCGGGGGTCAGGGGGTCCAGGCCCGTTCGGCGAGGAGAGCGGAGGCCCTGTGTGCACACGTCCGTGTGTGTCTGTTGGGTCCTGTCCTCAGAAGTGGCACGGGCGGCCGTCGCGCCAGCGCCCTCCCCGAGAGCTGCCTTGCAGCTAACCCAGCATCGCGTTCTGGCCGCCTCCTCAAATACCACAGCGTCAGACGGTTTCCAAGCCGGATTCCAGAAATACTTCTGATGGCAGAAATTGGACGAATGTCCAGTTTCTGAACAGAAGGGCACTGACGAGTGATCTCAGTCCTCGCTACTTGATGGTGAAGCTCTTTTTAGGATAAAAGGTTTGGGGAGGACTCTAAGGGCGACGGCCTCTCCGATTATTCGGAATGTGAGTTTCAAGCCCTGGCCTCTTGTCACAGGCCACGTCACACGTCGTAGCAGGCAGGCCGGCGCGGCCGTCCGGGTTGGAGACCTTAGACACAGGTGTGGGAAAGGAAACAGCAGGGGACGTGGGGCTGCTTCCAAGGTGACGTGTCCAGGAAAGGTTCTGCGATACTGGGAATCACACGCCCTGTCATTAAGGGGGTGTTTGCAGCAGGCGTGGACGTGAAAGGCTGGGCTGGTTTCTGAAGTGCTCCTCTCCTCCCAACGTATTGAGTCAGGTTACTAAAGCAGAAGTGTATACAGGGATTAAGTTATCAGGAGAAAGTGAGTCCTTCAAAAGGATGTTAGGAAAAGCTTTTTAACACTTACGTTGGACAGGTTCTCAAGGTTTAAACAGACCATCAGCCTTGTTGCTGTAGGGTGCCCCTGGGCTTTGGGCCCCCACTGAGCCTGGGTCACCCAAGCAACTTGACACTACATGTATTATCTGTTTATGTATTGGGCTTTTGCATTTGAAGAAAGGGTGCTGCTTAAAAAAAAAAAAAAAGTTTAAAAGCCACCATTGTACCTAACGAGTGGATACGCCCTGCAGTATTTGCACACCTGGTTGCCTGCCTGTGCTTGCACACCTGCAGTGACAAGGAGCTCACTATCCGTACCTCAACAGCCTCTCTCCAGTGGCCCTACTTCTCCCGGGAACTGTACGGAACAGATCCGAGCCTGTTCTTTCCCTGACCACCCTTTGTGGATGTTGCACATCTTTGCTGTGCTTATTGGCCATTTGCATATCTTTGGAGACATACATGTACAAGGGCTATGCTTCTTTTTAAATTGGGTTGTCTTTTTAGTTTCTAAAAAAGTTTTATTTGCTCAGTTACACAGGAAGAGCCTGTAGGGTTCTTGCTGGGGGACACACAGACGCGCCGCGAGGGAGACCAGGTTTGCAGCTGACCCCATATCCCTCCTCGGACGGTTCTGAGGGGACGGCACCATCGCCCCGACCCGGAGGGCTCCCGGCCGGGCGGCTGCCCTGGATGCGGCCTTTCTGTGGCCGAGGCTGCGGGAGGGGCTGTGCTGTGGTGGCGACGTAGACGCCGCATGAAACCGAGTGTCAGCCGCCTGTGTGCGTGCGGGCAGAGCCGTCCGGCTCGCGCGCAGCGGTGCGTCCCCGTCACCGCCGCTTGTCTCCAAGCCGGAACTCGCCCCGAGGACGGCGCCTCCCAGGCCCTCCGCCCTGGCCGCCGGCAGGCCCCGGTCAGCTGGCCGTCTCGCGCGTCGGGCCGCCCTGGGCCCCCCGAAGGGGAACGGCGCCGTGTCCGTCCCTCGTGGCCGGCTTGTGTCACTCAGCTTCACGTCTCCAGGGCTCGTCCACGTGGTTACGGTGTCAGACTCTCCTCCTCTTTAAAGCTGAGCGGTGTTCCGTCCGTGCTGCCTGTAGACCGCATTTTGCATGATTCATCCGTCCACGGACGTTGGGGCTGTTCTGCCTTGTGGCCACTGTGCTGTGGGTGTGCACGTCTCTGCTCTCTGCTCTCGTTTCTCTCGGGTGTGTCTCAGAGCAGAATTGCTGGGTCGCACGGTTAATTCTAGGGTTAGTGTTTGTGGGACCGGCACAGGTCCTGGGCGGTTTTGTGTTCCCACCAGCCGTGTGCGAAGGCTCAGCTTCTCCGCAGCACCCCCAGACTTGCTGTTTTGTTAACAGCCATCCTCAGGGGCCTGGGGAGGTGCCTCGCTGCGGTTCTGACTTGCATCGCCCTCGTGACCAGGGGTGGTGAGCAGCTTTTCATGCACACATCAGGCATGTGCGTGTCTCCTCTGGAGAAAAGCTTCTTACTTTCTTGACAGGATTGATTGTAGCACAGTTGTTAGATCCGTTGCCGAAATTCACATAGCCTGTCTTTAGTTTTTTGTCTCCTCTTTTAAAGAGATTTTTATTTATTCATTTTTAGAGAGAGGGAAAGGGAAGGAGAAAGAGAAACATTGATGTGAGAAAGAAACAATTGGTTGCCTCTCATAACGCCCCAGTCTGGGCCTGAACTCTCACCCCAGGCATATGCCTTGACCTGGAATTGAACCAGTGACCCTTCGCTTTGCAGGGTGATACCCACCCCGCTGAGCTGCACTGGTCAGGGCTCTGGTTTTCTTTGATTAACATTTTACTTACAATGAAAGAAGGAAATAAAATGAATACACTGCGAATCAGTAGATATGTGTTGATTGGTCATAGTGAACACTATTTGCTGTTGGGAGTTGGAAATGGAAGGATGAGTAAGATATAATCTGTGTTCAAAAGGATGTCACTATTTCCTGAAAAAATTTTCATCAGGAAAATCATACAGGCTGCTAGTGATCATCTTTTGTGCAAGTGAATTGAAACAGCCCTGGTTTTGTGCGCTAGGCTTCCGAGCTGAACAGGAAAGAGCGGGGACGGCTTCGCTCCGTGGCACCTGAGGCCTCAGCTGGAGCCCACAGAGGCCAGACGAATACGGAGCCCCGCTCCCTCACTTGTCTTGGGTGGTTGATTCTGGCTGTTGGGTGGCCCTCAGTTTGGGTCCACATGATGCCCTTCCCAAGCTGCGTGGGCTTCTCCGTGGACGGAGGACGGGCGGACGGGCGGGCGGTGATTTGGGGCGCAGGCGGTGTCGCTTCTGCCGCGTTCCGTTCCCCGAGGCTGAACCGGGCCTGCCGTCCTGTGTGCCTGAGGGGCAGCGCCAGGCCCGGATCCAGCACCCCTGTGGGGCTGGAGGAGTGTCGGGCTCGCGTGGAAAACAGACTCTTCTTACCTGCTCCTGGCCGGCCGGCCAGACTGCGGCTAATCACGCCTCTAGAGCGGACGGCCAGGGCGGCCGCATGCCTCCCCCGCCTGGCCGGGAGCCCCTGTGCGCTGCGGGTGCCACGCTGTGTCTCACATTCCCCACCTCTTGTGCCTTCGCCAGTTCTCTGCAGTCGGTGTGTGTTCGGTCTCTTCCTGTCTGGCAGTCCTGCTCTTTGACGGGAGAGTTGAGCGGTCTGCGCGGCCCCTCCCTGTCAGGAGCCTTTCTGTCCTGGAGGGCGGCTTTCAAAGCCCCGTTGTGTTGTCCCTGACGGTTTTGCAAGCCTCAGCTCATTCTGGGTTTTAGCCTGATTTTTCTGACCGAAGTATGCCGTTGTTCTCTGTTGTCCTTTGTTTGGGGGCTCTTCTCCGGCCTTTTGTGTTTGTCCCCTGAAGTCTGCGGAGCACTGCCTGGCCGGCTTTCGTGTGTCCTTGGGCATCGCTCCTTTCTTGCTGTGATCACTTTCGTTACGAATTCATACTCTCTTTCGAGATCTTTTTGACCTGCTGCGTGGTGGCGGGGCGGCCGGGTGTGCCCCGCCTTCTCCCTGAGCTGAGCCTGCAGGACGGAGGCGCCGCCCCGCCCCCCCCACCTGGGCCCAAAGGCCGGTCCCGGGCGGCAGGGTGGTCGTCCTTCTGCGGACACGCCGGGTGCGCTGGCAGCTCAGGACGCGACTTAAAGGGCGGTTCAGTGTCGGAGCAGCTTTGAAGCTGCTGTGGGTGGGGAAGCGTGCTGAGTCCAGCACAGCTGGGTTCAAACGTTCGGCAGAGGTGGTTTATTAAGGAGCAGATGGGATGCTCAGTGGGGGCGCTGTGGGGTGCGTGTTTTCATAGATACAGAGAACAAAACGGTGGTTGCCAGGTGCAGGGGTTTTGCAGGGCTGGTTGGAAAAGGTGCAGCGATGAAGGAATACGAATCGCTAGTTACAAAGCGCCGTGGGGACGAACAGTCGGTGGTATGGTGAGGACTGTGTGCGGTGCCAGGGTTCCAGACTTACCAGGGTCACCTCGTGAGTTACGTAAACGTCCACTCGTGACGCTGCTCACCTCCAACTAGTACAACGTTGTGTGCCACCGGTAACTGAAAAATAAATGAAGGAAACAAGGGTTCAAGGATGAGGGGATATTATATGAGACAGTGGACAAATAAAACTCGCCTAGGTTTGCTTCTGCCTCAGTCTTATGACTGGAGAAACGGAAGGACCCTGTCTTCTAGTGACTGTCTTACGGCTACAGGCAACTTGAGCAGGTGTCTCTGACCCAGGCGGTCTCTGTCGGGAAAGGAGGAGCCTGAGTTGTCACTGATTTTTCCTTTGAGCTCCGTCAGTGGCACGGTCTGGTCAAGGGGGAGGATGCTGCTTCAGGAAAGCAGTTTTCGCATTTTCAGACCCGAAAGTGGGCACACAGGACTCTGAAAGCTGTCCGTTTGTTGTGCTTCCATACTGGCTCTTTCTCCAGGGGTCGGTATTCTCTCTGCCGGGGTGGGCTCTCTGGTATGGCGTCCCCTTCCCCTTTCTCAGGTGCCTTTGTGTGTTTCTTTGCAGGTGGTCTCTTCCCATGGCGATGTCCATTTGCCACCGCGGCACCGGCATAGCCCTGAGTGCAGGTATGTATGCGTCTGCACGCGCTCACGCACGCCCTTCTGTCGCGTCTTCCCACAGGACAGGAGGGTCGGCTCTGTTCTGAGCTTTTCTCTGGCTCATACAGAGACACGCGCGCCCTGGTTTTCGTAGTAGCCTCCAGGCCCTTGCTGGGCTCTGGCATCTGCTTTCCCGAAGTGGCCGCCTGCACGGCCGGAGGCTCAGCTGCAGCGCCCGTGGGAGGGAGCGCACGGGGACCGCGGCAGGAGTTACCGAAAGCGAATCCTCTGCTGTTCGCAGTCGGGGCAGTTTTGCTGGTGACCAAGTGAGGGCAGGGACTCCCCGCTAGGGTTGGCGGCACTTCCCTTTGGCTGATCAAGGGCCGGTGGGACCCCGCTGTAGGGTGATTGGTGTGGCCTGGGAGTCCGTGAACGGCTTCTGGGTTTTAACCTGCTTGCACTGCCAGAGCAGGGTGCGTTCCGAGGTGCGGCCGTTGGGACCGCGCGTTCATAGCTGAGTCTGCTCTGCCTGCTGCCTCCAGCCGTGGCCAGGCTGGCACCCGCGGCTCGGCGGGTGGCGCTGGTGAGCGGGCGAGACGCGGGTCCGTGTGAGGCTGGGTTCCCACTGTTGCCAAGCGCAGGCGTCACCCGACGGACGATAGTCTAGCCAGGGGTGCCCCGACACAAAAGTATCTGCTAAACGCGGCTAAAATGGAATGGGCTTTTTTTGGATTTTAATTTTTTGTTTTTATAATGTTTTATTTTTTAAATTGTATCGATTATGCTATGACAGTTGTCCTGCTTTTCCCCCTTGGCCCCCTCCACCCAGCACCCCCACTCCCTCAGGCCGTCCCCCCACCATGGCTCATGCCCATGGGTCACGGGTGTAAATTTCTTGGCTGCTCCCTTTCCTATACTGTACTTCACATCCCCATGGCTATTCTGTAACTACCTATTTGTACTTATTTTTTATAAGATTTTATTTATTTATTTGATGGGAAGGGAGGGAGAAAGAGAAGGAGAGAAGCATCCCCCTAACTGGGGCCTGGCCTGCAGCCCAGGCCTGTGTCCTGACTGGGAATCAAACTGGCGACCCTTCAGCTTTCAGGCCGGCGCTCAGCCCACTGAGCACACCTGCCAGGGCCCTGTTTATACTTCTTAATCCCCTCACCTCCTCGCCCATCCACTGCCTCCCACGCCCCTCCCATCTGACACCCATCAAAGCGCCCTCCATGCCCACGGTTCTGGCTCTGGTCTTGTTTGCTTAGTTTGTTAGATGCAGTCGATAGGCATGTGTAGGTTGCCATTTTATTGTTCATAGTTTTGATCTTTTTCTTAAATAAGTCCCTTTAACATCTCATACAGTCATGGTTTGGTGGCGATGAGCTCCTTTAACTTCACCTTGTCTGGGAAGCTCTCTATCTGCCCTTCCAGTCGGCATGACAGCTTTGCTGGGTGGAGCCATCTTGGCTGTAGGTTCCTGCTTTTTATGGCTTTGAGTATTTCTTGCCGGTCCCTTCTTGGCTGCAAAGTTCCTTTTGAGAGATGAGCTGACAGTCTTACGGGAACTCCTCCGTAGGTAACTGACTCCTCTTCTGCTGCTGCTTTAAGAGCCTCTTTGTCTGTAACCTGTCGGCATTTTCATTGTGGCGTGTCTTGGCCTGGGCTTCTTTGCATCCATCGTGTTTGGGACTCTCTGAGCTTCTTGGAATTGCATGTCTATTTCCTTCACCAAATTCGGGAAGTTTTCTTTCATTACTTTTTCAAATGGATTTCCAACATCTTGCCCTTGCTCCCGTCCTTCCGGCACCCCGATGATGCAAGTGTTGGAACGCGTGAAGTCTCAGAGGCTGCATATACTCGCCTCATTTTTGGGGATTCTTTTTTCATCTTCTTGTTCTGACTGGTTGTTTTTTGCTTCCTTATGTTCCAAGTCATTGATTTGATTCTCAGCTTCATCCACTCAACTGTTGTTTCCCTGTAAGTTGTTCTTTATTTCAATTAGTGTATCTTTTGTTTCTTACTGGATCTTTTTTAGGCCGTAGAAGTATTACTAAGTTCCTTGAGCATTCTTATCACCAGTGTTTTGAACTCAACGTCTGATACGGTGCTTATCTCCTTTTCATTTAGCTCTTTTTGGGGAGTTTTGAGCTGTTCTCTCAGTTGGGCCATGTTTCTTTCGCTCCTCATTTTGGCAGCCTCCCCGCGTTTGTTTCTATGTGTTGGGTAGAGCTGCTGTGACTCCCTGTCTTGGTCGTGTGGCCTACGGTAGTAGGTGTCCTGTCGGGTCCAGCGGCACAGCCTCCCCATCACCCACGCTGCGCACTCGAGGTGCGTCCTTCGTGTGGGCTGAGTACACCCTCCTCTTGGAGTGGAGCCTTGGTGGCAGTTGGCAGGTCAATGGGAGGGATTTACCCAGGCCGGTCCAAATACGTTTTTATCACAACCGTAGTTAATAATTATTTGTGGTTCTGTTGTTTTTATCCCTTTGAATGGCTGTGTATTTGTCCACATAGGTCCTGGTCTTCCCAAACCTCCGGCTGGCTCTGTGGCCCCTGTACCCCTCCAGTCTGACTTAGGGAAATGGGGCGAGCAGTACAATAAGTAGGGGCAACAGCAACGGTCTCGGAGCGGCGGCGTGCCGGGCCAGACAGCGACCGGCGTCCCATCTTTAGGCCCGGAACGAGCCAGTGGAGCAGCTGTGATCTGTGCGTCCTGGGCGCACACAACAGCCAGAAAGATGGGAAATCTTCTGAATACGTCGAATCGTGTCACGCTTAGAATCTTCCTGTTCCCGTTATATATTACTCTTACTTGCCTTTCTTCTTAGATTGCAATTCAGGTTTCCCCCACGGCCTAAAATGCCCGGCCTGGCCAGGCCCTCGGCTGACTCCTCGCTGCCGTCCTCCCTCTGCCCTCTGCCCCCCGGCCCCTTGGGTCCGGGCACAGAGCTGGTGTGCGCTGTCTTCCCTGATCTGAGTGAACACCCCTTCCCTTGCCCTGCGTGGTTGTTCCCTGACAGAGTTGTCAGTTCAGAAGTCAACCCAACTTCTGTTTCTAATTCTTATTACACTTACGTTTCTTTTATAGTTTCTATTTCATAATTTGTAATTGTTTTGTTTGCTTAATTTTTATAAACTGGTCTATCTTTACCATGCATACCCTCCAGCACTCAATAGGTGCTTAGGAAATCTTTATTCACCAATCAGATATGCCCACGGGGATGTCCCGGGGGCGGGGGGGCTGGGAGTGAGGCTTCGGAAGCCGTGTGGTGGCGTTTTAGCAGAGATGAGGTCCCCGGTGAGACCAGCCGAAGGGGCTGGGGGCTTGGGGAAGGGTGGTTGGGAGTCCAAGAGGAGCAGGGGAGGAGGGCGCTGCGGTGGGGGGAAGCCGCGGCGCTGGGGCACAGGCGTGGGCGCCCGGTCGGCCACGAGGGGCCCAGTGCGGGGCGTGGGGGCGGGGACAGACGGCCACGCCGAGGAGCAGAACGTGACCCCGTCAACCGCGGGCATGACCAACGTGCGTGTCCTTGTCTGTTCCAGCAACAGGACCGTGGGCCGAGACCAGCCCGTGGTGAGACCAACTGAGACATAGATATTTGGCGGCGAGCATAGAAATTCTGAAAAGCATGTTGAACTTAAAACACGATGGTGCTAGTTTGACTTTAGAATAGAATTTGTTCAAAAAGAACTTTACAGACAATCCTTTGAAAGATGGAGAGATGGCTGGTAACACCCTTCCCTTGCTTAGGTCCTGTAGGGGTTAAATACTCAGCTTTTTCATAGTAATGGGCGGCATAGAAATCTGGGGGGCCAGGTAAGTTCCTTGAGAACGTGGGTGAGAACTGAGCAGGAATGGGACCGGGTGAATCAGTAAGATGGACAGACAGCAATACAAAGAACGGTTAGAAAAAGCTCCCTTGGGGGTGCGTTAGAGGAAAGTAACTAGGAACGAGTTGTGCTTGGCTCGAATGGCCCTGCGTGTTCTGGGTTGTCGTGGAGCGAGCCGTGAGCCACAGCGGTTGGAGCTGGCGGGCGGCTGCGATGGGCCAACTCGGCTGTCTCCTCAGGGGTCTGTCTGTTTGGCCTGTCGGCCCTGGTGCTGCCTGGGAACTTCGAGTCTCACCTGGAACTGGTGAAGTCGCTGGGTCTGGGGCCTGCGCTGACCCACACAGCCAAGTTTGCTCTCGCCTTCCCTCTCGCCTACCACACCTGGAACGGGGTCCGGCACCTGGTGAGTTCGCGGAGGTGGGCATGTTTCCCGGGTGAAGGGACTGGCGGGGCTGCGAGGACCCTCTCTTCGCTGTCTGGGTTCAGCGCTGCCCTGAAAGTCGCTGCGGCGGGGCCTGCGGGGAAGCCGGCCGGGCCCCGTGGTCCTGGGCGGCCCTGCTGGGCTGGCGCTGAGCGCGGCTGGGCCTGGCAGATGCGCTTCCCGTTTTAAGAAGGTTGTTAAGAAAGAGGCCCCTGAAGCCAGGGCCTGCGTGTTGTGGCACAGACGGCACGTGGGCCCCCCACACACTTGGCACCTGCTGTGCCGGGTGCTGGGATGCGGCTCTGAGCAGGTAAAAAGGACTGAGCTGCTTCAGTCCACCATTCCTGTCGCCGGGGAGCTCGGAGGGCTCGCAGCTTTTGGGCTTTGTTTTGAGCTGTTGCAGAAGGTGGAGCCAACTTTCACAGACACTGGGACTGGGTGCCTAGGACCCCAGAGTGTACCATTGGGCTTGGTATCTTTTGGTGGCCAGAGGACTGCCCTCTGTGACCTTGGGGCCTGTTCAGACAGGCATCTCCTCTCAGGAAGGAGATCTCTAGCCCCGGCCCGGCTGTACGCCCTCCCCCGCCCCCCCCCTCCAGATCCTGTGCTCTGCCTGCCCTTGGTCTTGTTTCCTTCCCCAGGGAGACACACCCATCCGTTCTTCCTGGTTTTCCATTGCTTCTCCACCCGAGCCCTCTGCCTTACGGAGGCTTTTGCCTTCATTCGACCTTTTACAGCCCCCACCTTAGAGCCTAGAGACAAGCACTCTCTGGATTTCAATCTGGTCCCACAGCGAGTGCAGTGAAATAGGAAAGTGAGTCACGAACGGCCTGGTCCATTCAGCGAGCCTGTCAGCTGGTCCCTGGGGCCCGTTCAGTGGGTCCAGGATGACTTGGCTTCCCTGAAGGGGAGGGTCCAGAGGAAGGGGATTTCCTGCCTGGACTGCTTGTTCCCTGCTGAGATCGGTGACCCACTTCCTCGGTCCCGTCTTGGCCCTGGCAGGGGCCGGGGAGGGATGGGAACGGGGCTTTGCAGGCTCTCGGAGGCAAGGTGAGGCTTTTCTTAGGCCCAGTCCCTGCTCTCCCTGTTTCTCCTGCGTGTGGAGCGGAGCGGGGCTCTGCCTGTTGTCTGGCATGGTCCGCAGTCCCGCGAGCTTGGCGGCCGCCTTGCAGAAGAGTGACCGGGTCGCTGGCATTCCAGAGGCCCACCCCGCCCTGTCTGCCCTGTCCCCGTGCCCTGGGGGCACTCTGTTGAGAAGGCTTGCAGTCAGGTGTTTGCCCGATGGATGTGCGTGACCGCAGAGCTTTCCCCCATGTGACCTGTTCGGCATTCTGAGGACCCGGGGTCAGAGGGACACACTTGGGGAAACACGGGTTTTGTCGTCGTGGGGAAAGCTTTACGGGTTCCATCTGGAAGCTTTGTGCACGCGCTGAGGGCGCCTCTCTGTCCTTGGGGCGCACGGTGGTGGAACCAGGCTGTGGGTGCGGGGGAGGTGACCGCGGGCAGGCGTGGGGAGGAGGCCTTTCTCCGGACTCCAGCCGAGAGAGAGGGGACCTTCCCTCTGAGAAAGGAGCCGTGTCAGTGACCGGGGTCCCGATTGCCGACACTTTGTTTTTCTTCCTGCAGATGTGGGACCTTGGGAAAGGCCTGAAGACCCCGCAGCTGTACCAGTCGGGCGTGGTGGTCCTGGCTCTCACGGTGCTGTCCGCCCTGGGGCTGGCGGCCCTGTGAGCAGCCGCGTCCCCGCTCCGCCCTCCCACAGACGATTAGTGGGCCTGATTTGCTTTGGTCGCCCTCCCTGCAGCCCAGGCAGCGTCTCCCGCCGTGTCCGACCCCTTTGTGCTTGCAGTTGCCCTTGGAGCTCGGCCGCAGAGTCCCCTAGAGAAGCGCAGCCGTGGAGCGGGGCCCAGTGTCCCTTGTTTCTAAAGATGGAATCTCACAGAGACTCCCTTCTGCCGCCCCCGCGGACAGCCCGCCCGGGGCCCGGGGACCCTCATTCCCTCTGCCCTGGGCCGTGGTTTGTGCTGAGGGTCAGCTCTTGGCTCCTTCCTCCTGAGACAGTGGCAACAAAGCCAGCTCTGTGGCCCTGTCTGGGGGGCTGGGGGTGGGGCTCCGGGTGCCGCTGCCTGTGGGCTGCTGGCGCGCAGGACAGTTCTGCCCACGGCCGAGCCCAGGGTCCCCCGCACTCATGCGGTGCGGGCTGAGGGGTGACCTGTCGCGGCTGGAGGGGGGGAAGGAGGGTGAGTTGGCTCTTGGAGGAGGTGCTTTGGGGAGAAGATGCATAGTTTTTGATGCAAGAGAAAGATCCAGAAAATTATTTTGAACCTTTTAAGGATTATTTTTTTTCCTCGCAATTTCAGAAAAACAAGCCTCTTATTGTCATGTTTTCTAATCCGAATTCATGTGATAATCTTTTTCTGAAATTATTAAAATACTCATTTCATCTGTGACTCTCCCTGAAGTTGAGAGAACCCAGGGAGTGGCGGCTGAGGAGGAGCCAGGCCCCTCCCGCAGGTCACGGGCTTTCTCAGGGGCTCAGGTGCCTCGGGGAGGGGACAGAAGGAGCGGGGGGGGGGGGGGGGGGGGGGGGAGGGAAGTCGCGGACGTGGAGAGCCGGGCTGCGCCAGCTCCAGCCCCGCGCTGAGCAGGGTTGGCGCTGCGCGGGGAGCGCGCGGGGGCGGGGAGCGGAAGCCGAAGCCGAGGGGCGCTGAGCCACGGTGCCGGTGCCGACCTGCCCGACCTGCGGGGGAGCAGGAGTTGTCGCCCCCTCGTGGGGAACCAGCCGCTTTCAGGGTCCAGAGGCCAGGTTTTGGGTCCCACCTCCGGGGCAGGGTGCTGCGCTGGCGCTGTTGGCCCCGCGGTGAGCGCAGTGGGGGGGAGGGGACGGGTGGGGCCTGACGGTGTCACCGGAGAGGAAGGCCTTGCTCGGGTATGGTGGTGGGCACTGCCGTCCCCGAAGTGGCCTTGGCTCTATGTGGTGATCCGTCTGCCTTCCCGCGAGGCTGGCCCTGGGGGTTGCTGTTGGCCCCCCCACCTCCAGTCCTCGGTCCTCAGTGCCTGTCCTGCGCGTGAGGGTCGGCGTTCCTGGGCGGTCACTTGGCAGTGGAGGGGGAGGCCTGGCAAGGGCCTGGATTGAGCAGTGGTGGCAGGAAGAGGAGCCCGGGGCAGCTCCAGGCAAGTTGGAGGCTGCGAGGTGGGCAGGGGAGACGGGGGCTGGGCCTCAAGGGCGGCCGTCGTGTTGGCATTCTGTCCTCGGCTTTCTTCCCCGTCTCCTGACCACTGAACGTCTTTGGTTTTCAGGCCACGTTTGTGCTTGTGCTGCAGTTTGGCGTTTGTAACTCAGTTGGCCTTCGGAGCTCCACCGCCTGCCGTGGAGTCTCGGACAAGGCTCCCCCGTGGCCTGGCATACCTGTCCCACCTTGTCCAAACGCAGGCATACGCTGCTGCGGGGTGGTCCCGCTGACCCCGGCGTTGACCCCGGGCCCGCGGGAGGACAGACCAGGGTGGGTGGGGTGCTGTGACTCAGACCAGCTTCCCCTTGGCCGCTCCTGGAATGTGGCCGACTGGATCCGAGCACAGAGGGTCCCCCCAGGCCTCGGCGCATGCCCCCCCCCACCCCGCCCTCCTCCCCGGGGATGAGAGGCAGCCGGAGTGGGAGGAAAAGTCCAAATCCCTGAGTCAAATGATGTTTATTTTCCAAATTTGCCTTTATCCCCGTGTTCTCCCTGGCTGGGGTCTCGCGCATGACTTCACTCTGTAGAAAGGTTTCCTCAGTGGGTCCCCCCAGGGGTCCCAGGTGGGCACCTCTGGGCCCCCGCTGGATAGCACCTGCCCAGGTCCGAGGCACAGGGGCTCCCAGCGGGGCTCCCAGGAGAGGGGGCTGGGCTTCCGGGACCCGGAGTGTGACCTGCAGAGGGGTGTGGGCTCTGGGGCGCGTCCGGGCAGCAAGGACTCGTGGCTGGACTTGCTGCTTGTTGTCCGGGGTTCCGGGGCGCGCCGTCCGGGTCCCGGGGCTGCCGGCGGTGAGAGGGAGGGCAGCCTGGTCAGGCCTCGCTCGTGCCCAGCCCGCTCAGACTCCTACGTCCCTCTCCCCTCGAGAGGTAGACGAGCTGGCGCCTCTGCCTCCCCTGGAGCTCAGGTCAGCATCGCTTTGTGCTGTGGGGCAGGAGGTCCCCCTGCCGGGAGGCGGGGGCGCAACGGGCGGGGGCGAAGTCGGAGTGGAGACGGAGCGGTTGGAGGGGCGGCGTGGGGAACGGGCACCTTGCCGAGGATTTCCGGACGCAGCCCGTCCGAGGCCTTGAGGAAGTCGGGGTTTTTCCGCATCCACGCGGTGAGGGAGGCAGCGCCGGCAGCCGTTCGGGACGTGAGCGTCACGCGCGCGGGGGGGATCTTGAGCGGCATCTGCCAGGTGCCCAGGAAGGAGCCCCAGGGGCTCGCCTGGAAGGGGGACGGCAGCGCCCCTCAGCGGCGCTCCTCGCTCTCAGAGGCCGACCCGAGGGCGGGGCCCGAGTCTGCCTTCTTTCCTGCCTTTACCCTGGGGCGGGAGGGAAGGAAACCAGGCCGAAGGCACCGCCCACCACCCCTCGGGTTACCCTGGTGCTGCGCCCTCGGCCGGCAGCAGGGAGGGCGCTCTGGTCGCCTGCTCCACCAGCCCTGCCGGGGGCGGCCGGAGGCGGCCGGAGGTCCGGGGCACTCGTGTCCCAGCGTGGGTTACGTGGAGCTCCGGCGGCAGGAGATTGCACGCTCCCCGTCATGCCCCAGTCGGTGCGGATGGAGCAGCGTCTTACCTTGGAACGCGGCACGGAAGGCAGCAGGTGACCGCGGTCGTTAGCGATAATCTGAGTGTAGCCTTCGTGGGACGGGATGCTCTGGGCGGAGAGGGGGGAGAGGTGCTGGGGAGCCGGGAGAGGGGCGGGGGGCGGGGCGGGCCACCCAGGGTCCGAGGAGGGGGCGGGGCCGGGGCGGAGGGGTGGGGTGGGGTGGGGTGGGGGAGGGGCGGGGCAAACAAGAGCACCCACGGAGCTTGCGGGGAGAGGAGAGCGGAGCCGGCCGGGGCGGGGCCGGCAGGTACCTGCTTCGTGGGCCTGGGGGGAGCCCAGTTCCGCAGGTGCTTCGGGGAGAAGGCCTCTTCGTACTGCAGGGAGAGGGGCGGGCACCCCGTGAGGCCGCCAGACCCCAAGCCCGGGAGCCCATGCGGCCCGCTCTTCAGATCAGAGGACACAGGCCTGAACGGCCGTGCGGGCTTCAGCGAGCACGCAGCCTGTCGGGTCTAAGTGCGCGTCGCGCCGCGGAGGCCTGCGCCGCAGGCGGCCGCTGTCGAGCATGGGAAGCGCTACACCCGCAGCGAGGCGCTTTGTCCACATCAGACACATGGGATTTTAAAGACAGTACGCAGAAGGGAACGTAAAACATCCGATTACAACTTTTAAAAGGTCGATTAAGTATTGACGTATTTTAGATTTATTGGGCTAAATGAAATACTTAACTCATTAGAGAACTTTATGTCGCTACCAGAAAATTAGAGATGCGCTTGTCGCTTGCAACGCGTTTGATGAAAGGGGACGCTCACTTTGTATCTCAGTTAAGCAAAGTGTTTCTTCCGAAGGAATTTAAATCTTTGCGTTAGTGCTGCGTAAGAATCGCTCTCAGTGGTTACATTTTGGGAATGTTGGGTTTTCTGCCATTAACCCAAGAGCCTGCACGACAACTCTGATGTTGTCGCTTGGCCAAGAAAACCTCCAAGGGTTGGTCCCGGGCCCCGGCCGCCGGCTGAGACCCTGCAGGCCGGCCCCGCCGGGGGGCTGAGAAGTGCAGGCTCCCCGCTGTCGGCCGCCCGCCCTCTGCCCGCCACCGGATCCTGGGGGCGCCGGCCCCGAGGCCAGGCCGACCCCAGGGGGCAAGACCGCGCCTGCGAGGGACGCGGGCAGAGCGCTCACCTGGTTCGCGCTGTAGTTGGTGGCCATGGTCCGCGAGTCTGCTGTTTACCCTGGTTGCCTGGCAACCGCGGAGGCCCGGTCCGGCTCCTCCCCCGCTTCCTCGCCGGTACCGCCCCCACCATTTCCCGGAAGCTGGGAGGAAGCCCTCGAGGAAATCCGCTGAACTGCGGCCCTGTCTTCTTTTCCAGCGTAACTGGCCTGCTCGGAACAGCTCGCAGGGAGCTTTGGATGAGGTCCCTGCCACGGTGACAGGTGACAAGCCGTGGTTCCAGGGCTGCCGGCCAGCGAGTAGAGAGAGACCTGTTCTAGGGTACCCTGCTGCCCCTTCCCCTCACGGCAACAAGAGGAAATGTTTCCAAAGCTTTCGACTCAAGAGCTGGGCCCGTAAGAAGAGCATGTCTTGTCCCTGGACCTTGTCCTCATCCTTCCCTGGAGTCGCAGGTGCGTTGTTGGCTGGACGAGGCAGGTGGGCAGCTGCGCTCCGGGCACCGTGAGCATGGGGTTTTCCTCACACCAAGCGACCCTGTGACACCGTTTAGCTCAACCCTGACACCCGGAGGGAGCATCAGGTCAGGGGCTCAGTCCTGCAACCTCAGATGCCATTGAAGTCCCGCTGTCACTTGTGCCTCTGACCAGTTCCCATGACCCCCTCCCCGGGTCCAACTGATTTGCTAGGGCAGCTCACAGAACTCAAGAAAACATTAATGTAACCGGCACAGGTGACCATCCAACTGGGAGACATGCGGAGGGCGGGGCCTCCCCAATCCCCACACCTGCACGTGTTCAGCCCCCTGGAAGCTCTCAGAATCCTATGCTCTCAGCTTCCTCGCATAGGCGTAGGGTCCTTAACTCCATTTCCAGCTTCTGTGCCCACTCTGGAGAATGCAGGCGGGGCTGAAAAATTCGAAGCTTCTAATCATGGCCTGGCCTTTCAGGTGACCAGCCCCCATGTGGGAGCCATCCAGAGTCACCTCATTGGAACAAAGACTCATCTATCCCTGGGAAATTGCAACAGTTTTAGGAGCTCTCTGCCAAAAAGCATTGGGGCAGAGACCGATATGTATTCACGTTTATTCTATTGTCACATACGCTCACGTAGACGATAGCGCAAAAGAGAGGACGTATGTATTGTATAAAAGTATTCGCATAAAGGTAACCATTAGAACGAAATACACACTCTTCCTAAATCCAGGAAGTATGTTTAAAAGGGGGAAGTGGGGATGAAGAAGCAAATGAAATGGGTCACTGGTGAAACCCCCTGCATAGATGAATAGGTCGCAGAACGGGCAGATCTGAGGCCGCACGTACGGGCCACATCAATGCATTTATAAGTGGGCTCGCACCACCTGTTAAAATTATTTTTACATCGACGAACAAAACAAAATCCAACGCTCTGCTGCATAAAAGAAACACACATGAAATAAAGAGATGCAGGAAAGCTAAAAATAAGCAACTAAAAAAATGTAGCAGATTTTCTTTTTTTTTTAAGTCAAGGAGGGGTTGTAATTGTAATTATTCAAGAATCCTAAGAAGTTTTAAAAGAGATCAAGAAATTTTTTTTTTTACCACAATTAGAAAGACAAAGAATCACATTTACTATGGGAGAGGGACGCACCAGCAACCCCAGGTGGAGGAAGATAGTGAGGAAGAAACTAGGAAGGGTACAAAAGACCTAAACATAGTAAATAAGGTGAATTTAATACATATTAAACTCTGAACCTTCATAACAACTTACTTTTTAAAAAATTCATATAAGATGAAAACAATCACAAAAATGTGGCATAATCACATCTTAGGCCATGAAGAAAATCTCAGTAAAGTCCAAAGGGAAGAAATAATATAAATAGTGTTTTTTGGCCACAAAGTAATATAATTAGATATTAACAATCACTAACCAGAAAAGGCTCTCATGAGGAGAAATTTAAAAACATGCTTTTACTTTTGGGTGAAAGGGAAAATTCAAACAATTTTTTGAAAATAGTAATAATGAAAACCAGAATTTATGGGAAATAGTTTAAATCACTGTTATATAAGGATTTATAATATTAAATACCTACATGAATGAAAGTAAAAATATGTGAATAAACATACTAAAAAAACTAAGGGCATAAAAGTAAACCCAATAACAGAAGAAAAAAGAAATTCGCAGAAAGAATAACAGAGATTAGTGGGGTTTGAAAACAACAACAAAAATAGCACTAATAGTTTCTTTGAAAAAAATTGATAACAACTAAATTACTCAGGGAAAGGGCGGCCGCACAATACATGAAATTAGAAATAAAGAGACACAATAGTAAAAATATTCTATGCAGATATATTTGAAAATCTACATTAAACGGATAATTTTGGAGAAAGACAATTTAACAAAATTGACCCCTGGGGTGAAAGAAAGTCTAAACAGACCACTTCACATAAAAGAACTGAGGTTCTCCCATAAAACAAGACAGGCCCAGAGAGTTACACTAGAGGATTCTATCAAACTTAAAAAAGAAAAATTTAACTTATTAAAGTATTCTAGATCAGACAAAAAGAAAACTCCCAAATTCATGTTATGAAAAGTGTAATATTGAGTCCCAAATCTGCATTTTGGAACCCTGACAAAGACTGTAACAAAAAGGAACACTGTAGATTAATTTCATTTATTAATGCTGATGCAAAAATGTATAAAACATTTGGAAGTAGAACGAAACAGCATGTTTAAAAAAATTATGGGAACACCCTTCTATCGCTCAGTGGGATGCTGCCCAGTTCACGAATTGCTTAATACAGGCAATTAGATCTTCGAGTTAAAAAAAAAAAAAAAAAAAAAATTCCTGACCGAGTGATGAATGCAAGGCCGGGCAGTCAAGTTAGGGCGTCCATGAGCGTAACCCATCGTATGAATGGGCCGAAGGTGAAAGAAATACGATGATATCCACAAAAGCAGATTAATGAGTTTTAATACGAAAAAAGCAAAAAGGCAACTGAGAAAAAAAATTCTGTTGCAAAGTGTTGATATCTCTGGTTTTTAAAAAGCTTTTAAAAATACAGAAGAAAGAGACTAATAACCCTACAGAAAACTGGGCTAGATATATAACCGGGCATATCAGAGAGCAAGACAAACTGCTGGTCACCTACGAAAAGATGTTCACCATTGATTGCCCGTAACTTTTTAAAAGTGCAAACGGAAACCCACGCGACTGGCGCGGCTGCCAGGCCTCCCTGGGGAGACAGGAAACGTGGGGGAAGCCACAGGACGCGAACGCGGCAGTGGCGGTGGCCGTTCGTGAAGCGGCCCCACTTGCAGAAAATGGTCCCCAAGACGGTCTGGCAACGCAGCGTTACCGTAACAGCTGCGGACGGGAAAGGGCCCGCAGGCCAGTGACGACCACGGAGCCCCGCCCCCGCCCGGCGGAGCGTAAGGCAACTTGAGGAACAATGGGTCCTACGCTGCGCTGGGGCCCTGCTCAGGGCGCACTTTCATGTGAATGAAGCGAGGCGTAGGGCGCACGCACAGTGTGCTATTGCTCATCAGAGAGGGAGGTGGAAGGGTCTGTATTTCTGATACAAAGCTGATGGAAAATTAAATGGCGTAATTCAACAGCGATCACCTTCAGGGGGGAAAAAGGGATAAGAGGGGAAGGGCGCGTAGAAGATAAACTTCTTCGAATGTGCCCCGTTTTGCAGAGTCGATTTTGGAACCATGTAAATAATTTACATAATTATAAAATGAAAGCAAAGCCTCACATTAACAAATGAATTCTCTTTTTCACAACTGTTTTGGAAGAGGCAGTCGGCTGCACTACGCGAGCCACGTAAACAGGCCACCGGCGCACGTTCCCGGTGCTTTCCTCCTCGGGACCAGCCTCCTGCTCGCGGGGGACGAGCCCCAGCCCCGCCGCGCAGGCGGATCCGAGCCCGCGGCCCGCCGCGGCCACAGCCTGCGGTCCCTCGGGGTCGGCGTCGGGCGTGGGGACGCCGAGCGGAGCCGGCGCCGGCCAAGGGTCAGAGGGCAGCGGGGAAAAGAGGCGCGCGCGGCCCCGGGAGCCGAGAGGGTCTGGGTGACTCAGCTTGGCGTCGGGAAGAAACCTCAGCTTCCGCTCGGCGGGCGGTTCCCACGACCTGCGGCCGGAAGGAGGCGCGAGCGCGCCGTCCGGCGCGCGGGGAGGGGCCCCCGCGGCGTCGGCGCGGGGCGGGGCCCGGGGGAGGTGTCGTGCCGGGCGGGGAGGGTCTGGCGCCCCCAGCGCCGTGGGGCCCGTGGAGGGGCGAGCCCGGCCTCCTCCGTAACCGCTGACGTGAGGCGGCGGCGAGCGCAGGTGCCGGCGGCAGCGGCCAGAGCGCGGCCCTCGTCCCAGGCGGCCTCCGGGGCGCGAGGGGAGAGGCCGTGTGCCGGGCCACCCTCGGCCCGTCCGGCCTCCGCGGTGGACAGCGCCCTCTGTGGGGAACGGACCGCCCTGCAGAGGCCGAGGGAGAGTTGCCACCTCTGCCTGCGTCTCCGACCTTCCTCACAGTTTGCAACGGGAATACAAAAAGCAGCGGTCGCGGAACACAGTCTAGTTTCCTAAGTTCATGCTCTGATCCTATGGAATCTAACTTCTTATGCAGTGGGATCGGGTGGTGTTTGTCTTTCTCTGACTTCTTTTCACTTAGCGCAGTGCCCTCAAGGCCCACGCGTGTGTGCAGAAGTGGCAAGACTGTGTCCTTGTCATGGCTGGATCGTCGTCCACTGAGTGTGCGCCGCCTCCTGCCTCCATCCGTCTGTCGATGGACGCTCAGGTGGTTTCTGCGTCTTGGCTCTGGGAAAGAACGCTTCGACGAACACGGGGTGCATCTCTCTTTTTGAATCGGTGCTTTTCTTTGGATGACTACCCAAATGTAGGATTTGCTGGGCCATATGGTAGTCCTACTTCCCATTTTTTGAGGAGCCTCCACATTGTTTTCTACAGAGGCCGCCCCAATTCACGTTCCCACGAACAGCACCCTTTCTCCACATCCTCCCCAATTCTTATTATTTCCTGCCTCTTCGGCAGTAGCCATTCTGACACCTG